TGTAAATAAATTAGCCTCAGTACGAGGTCTAGACCGCATATTAACAATTGATACGGGATCAGAACGCCCGTTCTTCAATTCTTTAAAGCTCTTGAGTTTTGTGTACCTTACCTCGGCAAAGAAACGAATGGTATTGATTTGATAGAAAGCAAAAATATCGAAAGAAGAAACACCGAAAAGAAGATGTCGAAAAAAAATGTCGAACGGAAAAATGCCGATCATACTAAAATGTTGAAAAGGAAATACCGAAGGAAAAATGTCGAAAAGAGAATATCGAAAAGTCTTTACGCCGATAAAGGAAATGTCGATCGCATAAAAAAGTCGAAAAAATTTAAGTTGTAGTTTAGGGCTGCTTCAAGTAATTTTTTTTATTCGACGTTTCGATGACTAGATCATGATTATCAAGACAACAATGTGACTAAATGTGTCCAAGCAAGAACGCGTTTAAGAGAAAAAGAAAAATCGAAGAAGAAAAGAAAAATTGTAGAAAGAGAGAAAATACGTCGAGATCCAGCTATATCTTTTCTTACAACAAAGGAAGAAGAAAAAAGAAATATCTGGATCCTGATGTGTTTTCTCTCTCTGAATAATTTTTCTTTTCCTCTTAAATGCGTACGTGCTTGGACACATTTAGTTCTCACAGTGTTATCATACTTTGGTTTTAGATGTTGAGAGCTGTGCCTGTTCATTTCAAACCTCTCATCAGTAACGATGTTGAGATGTTGTTGGTTTATTTGTTCTAGATCATCCATGTCATCATGCAGCCTGTCTTTTCTTATCTCGAACAAAGGCAAGCCCCTCTTGGTGATTGATAACTTCATATACAAAATGAACAAAGAAACAGTATCTAAAAAATATTGGGTTTGTCAAAACAATGGATGCAAAGTCTCTGTACACACCGATATTCAGAACATTTTTTTAAAAACTAGTGGAGATCACACTCATCTATCTGATCCGGAAGATTTTGAAATAAAAATGCTTCGTAAAAATGTGAAACAACGTGTTATACTCGAAACCACACCAATAATGAAAATATACGAAGAAGAGGTTGTCAAAGCGCAACTTTCAACACAGGCTCTAGCAACTATACCAATGGCGCGTGAAATACGTAAGTTCGATTACTTGCTCTTACAGACAGTTTTCAAGAGCATACTTCCTATTTTAGAGGCTGGACTGGCACAAGCGCGACGTCAAATAACACCCGTTCTGCCGACTTCATCTACGTTTGATATCCCTGATGCTTATCAAGTAACATCAAAAAGTGAAAAATTTTTATTTTCTGACACATTGATTCGTCGAAGAAAACGGATGCTACTCTTCGGCAGTGTTACCCAACTGGAATTGTTATTTGATAGCCCCACCATTTTTATGGATGGAACGTTTAGTTCCACACCTCCATTCTTCGATCAGGTTTATACGATACACGCTATGAAATTTGGAACAAGTAATACGACCTTCAGGTTCTGCACCATCATCATTATTCTTTTCTACTTCTTTCTCAGGTTTTCCGTGTGTGTTTGGTCTTCTACCAGACCGTAAAAAGTCGATGTATCAACAATTATTCAAAGTATTACAAGATTTGGCCATTTCGATGAATCGTACATTTAAACCAGATCGTATATTGAGCGATTTTGAGCCAAGTCTAATTCCAGCCGTGGCCAGTGAAGTAATTACTCTACACCATCCTTATCGAGCTACATTTGTTCTTTCTTGAATTCAGTTTCCTCAGGCTGTACATAGTGGCTGCTTCTATCATTATACACAAGCCATTTATCGACGTATGCAAATTTTAGGCTTAACAATAGCTTATTCACAGAATGATGAAATTCGAATTTGTTGTCGTAAACTTATGGCATTAGCACTACTGCCATTGGATAAAGTCGAGTGGGCATTCCATGATTTACGTACAAAACCACCAGCAGCGGTGAACCAAACATTACATCAACTGTTTCTTTACTTTGAAAAACAATGGATGACCGATGTACCATTAGAAATTTGGAATGTACAAACAACAACTGTAAAGGTATGAGTGACCCTCGTCTTTTCCATCACTTTACCACCTATCATATTAGGTTTTCATAATCGACTAAATCAACGTATCCAAAAATCGCATCCGAATATTTGAAAGTTCATAAAATGTCTTCAAAGTGAAGAAAATCGATTTCGTCACGTTCTTCTTCAAATGAATGCTGGAGCTCAAGCAAGGCCTAAATCAGTAGCAACAAGTTCAATTCAAAAAAGAATCAACACACTCAATAATCGTTATAACAATGGTGAAGTCAATGTCGATGAATTACTTGATGGCTTATCACTAATTGTAGCCAAACAAAAGAGATAAACATCAAACATTTATTATTAATATTGTCGTTGTTATTATTATTATTGTTCTTAACTTTTTCTTTAACTTCTTTTATTTTTAGTCTACTATGAACCTTGAATTACTAAACAAAAAATATCAGTCCAACTATTTCAGACTGTCTCCTTGAATTCCTTCCAGCCTTCGACATTTTTTTTCCACCTAAATATCATTCGACACTTTTTTTTCGTCATTCTTTTTCCGCGGTATCGTTTTTCCATCAAAGTAACAGTCGACGTTTCTTTTTCGATCTTTTTACGTTTGACATTTTTTTTTCGGTCTTTTTCTTTCGACATTTCTCCTTTCGACATATTTTCTTTCTACCAAATCAATACATACCAAAGAAAAGACGTGTATCATTGAAATTGATACCAATGATGGATATTAGGAAGTTCTACTATCTAGAATGATTTGAGCATGATTGAACTATCGGATCAAAAGTTACAGTCAAAATAGAGGCCGTCATGGAATTTCA